ATTCGTCAGTCTCGGCGTACATCTACCACCGTCTGCTGGGGCACGAAGTAGAAGAGGTCTGTAATGCAATTTCTTTTAGCCTTTAATGTTAAGTTATTTTTCTTGACCGATGATATCGATGATAATATGGATTCTGGCCTCTGCGGGGATGTAGCAGTTTTGACGGAGAGAAAAAAAACAGAGTTATATTTTACAATAAACACATCCTACGTTTCGACTGCATGTCCGTAACCATCATCAGGGGCTAATTTATTAAACAACTACGCCCCCTTCGCGCTCCACTCCCCACCCCCATATGACCTACATATCACCCCCCATAATCCTTTTTCTGACGCTTACTTTTGGAGTCTTAATTTCGAGTACCAAATTTTCATCACCAAAAGTCGATTTAGATTTTTATAATATATAGAAATAAACCATCTAAAACACAAAATGCAAATACAAATCACAATGTATCCAGTTTAAAACAATGTTGCAACAAAAACCTCAATTAATAATGCAAATAATAATAATAACTAATATACTATAATAATACCTAATTACTCGGAAAAACCCTGCTCCTGTTGTTACCGGGGATCAGTGTATCTAATAAGTAGAACCTATAAAAACGAAAACTTTATGGGTGAACCAGCCACGACCACCGTGTCTAGATGCATTAAAAAACCCCTAAAAGATCTCCATCGCGTCCTAATTCCCTCCGAAATAGTTCAAAAAATGAGTAATTTACTTTTTTACAAGTTAAAATTGGAAAATACTACAACTAACGACAAAGACATACTTGTCATTCTCGCGACCACAACACCACTGACTTTAGACTTTGATTGAAGTAAAAATAAGAAAACAAAGAATAATTAAGTTACGAAATAGTTGAATGCAGAAGAAACCCCTAATTTCTGGACGACTGGGCCATATTTTTTTAATCTATTAAATGTCGATCGATAGAAAAAATAATTGATCACATGATTATACGACTAATACTATTGAAATGTGAAATAATCAGTACAATGTTCATTTTATTTATGGATTTATGGAATATTCAGTGCAAGTTGAGATCGTCCAGAAAATAACGCCCCTCCAGAAATTGACCTGTGTACCCTACCCCAAGTTGTAGAAAAAAGCAGTTCCACACTTCCTTCTCTCAGTCTACACTGAGAAAAAAAATTATTTTAGCCAAATATCCATTTACTTGAGAAAAGTATTTATTTTGTCAATTTCATATTTCTCCTGCCGAGTCATTCTCGGTCAATTCTCATTAGGCTTCAATTGTGACAATTATATTGCTCTAGAAGATAATCATGTTAGCTATGATCTTGAGCGAACTCCCTCAATAATTATCAACATTAAAAAATTATTCAAAATTCTTTCCTCTAGAAAATACGAAATTTAGGAAAAATTAATAATTATTGAAGGAGTTCATCGAAGGTCATGTACAGCATAGTCTTCCTCTAGATCACAATGATTGTCATAATTGAAACCTAATCAGGCTTATCTGGGAATGACTCGGATAGAGAAATTCAACTTTAAAAAAGTAAATACTTCTCTCAAGTAAATAGATATTTGGCAAAAATATATTTTTTTCTCAGTGTAGACCCCTATAATACAAATTGCTAGAAATTTAACAGCCTTTTAAACTCCTGCAGGTTCTCTTCCGTTGTCACCTCCCGAAGCACTTCAGTGCCCCGAACCTCCCGGACCTCAATCGTTCCCAAGTGTACGCTGTGAAGCACGCAGTGCAACGCCCCTTGTCCCTGATCCAGGGTCCCCCAGGCACAGGTAAAACCGTCACGAGTGCAACGATTGTCTACCAACTGGTGAAGCAGAACGGAGGTCCAGTCCTGGTGTGTGCCCCATCGAACACAGCAGTGGATCAGCTCACTGAGAAAATCCACAAGTCAAACCTCAAAGTGGTACGCCTCTGCGCCAAGTCCCGAGAGGCCATCGACTCCCCAGTGAGCTTCCTAGCCCTCCACAACCAGATCAAGAACATGGAGACCAACACTGAACTCCAGAAGCTCCAGCAGCTGAAGGACGAGACTGGAGAGCTCTCCTCAGCAGATGAGAAACGTTACAGATTACTGAAGAAAGCAGCTGAGAAGGAGCTGTTGGAGGCTGCTGACGTGATCTGCTGCACGTGTGTGGGAGCTGGTGACCCACGACTCCATCGTCTCAAGTTCCACTCGATCCTGATTGACGAGAGTATGCAGGCAACCGAGCCCGAGTGCATGGTGCCAGTGGTCCTGGGGGCTAAACAGTTGATTCTAGTTGGAGATCATTGTCAGCTGGGGCCTGTGGTCATGTGTAAAAAAGCAGCCAGGGCTGGCCTATCCCAATCCCTCTTCGAACGTCTCGTTGTCCTGGGTATAAGACCCTTCAGACTCGAAGTCCAGTACAGAATGCACCCAGATTTATCCAGATTCCCCTCGAATTTCTTCTACGAAGGGTCACTGCAGAACGGTGTCTGCGCTGACGAGAGAAAACTCGTCAAGATTGACTTCCCCTGGCCAGTCCCAGACAAGCCCATGTTCTTCTACGTGACTCAGGGACAGGAGGAAATAGCTGGAAGTGGTACATCCTACCTGAACAGAACTGAGGCATCGAATGTCGAGAAGATCACCACGAGATTCCTCCGGTGTGGAGTTAAGCCAGAGCAGATCGGTGTCATCACTCCTTACGAGGGCCAACGAGCCTATCTCGTGCAGTACATGCAGTACCAAGGCTCCCTGCACTCGAAACTCTATCAGGAAATAGAAGTCGCTAGTGTCGACGCCTTCCAGGGACGTGAGAAGGACATAATCATCATGTCGTGTGTCAGATCCAACGAGCACCAGGGGATTGGATTCTTGAACGACCCCAGGAGATTGAATGTAGCTCTGACTCGAGCCAAGTACGGTATCATCATCGTGGGGAATCCCAAGGTCCTCTCTAAGCAGCCACTGTGGAATCATCTTCTGAGTTTCTACAAGGAGCAGAAGGTTCTCGTCGAGGGACCCCTGAATAACCTGAAAGAATCCATGATTCAGTTTGCCAAACCCAAGAAGCTCATAAACTCAGCAAATCCAGGCTCTCACTTCATGTCCACCTCTATGTACGACGCCAGAGAGGCACTGATACCAGGATCAGTTTACGACAGGTCTGGCGGCCAGATGAATGGCAATCAGGCCCACAATCCCTACTACCAGAGGAATGTTCCCCTGGATATGTTCAGTAGAACTCACGACACCATCAGCTACATCAGCCCTGAACGAGCCCAGGCTGCCATGAATAATGTGCCAGTGCCTGTGGGGATGTTTATGAATATGGCACATGTGCCACCCAGGTTTTACAATCAGCATCAGCAGGCCCTGCAGGCACGTCAGAACCAGAGAAATCGACGTAATCCTGGGGGAATGAAGGGCAAGGGTCCGAGAATGGGTAAATTGAGTCAGAATGATCAGAATACACAGCCCTACAGTCAGCCAGGGTTGCCACTGACTCAGGGGACCACTCAGGGCATGTCTCAACCTGGATTTAGCCTGTCTCAACCTGGTCTCAGTCAGGCTGAATTGTCGCAGGATTCGTTTGCTGTTGGGGACTTTCAGTCGCAGATGGATGGACTCCTCTCCCAGGACTCTACTTATCAAGGGGACAGAAGTGGCTTCTATCAGGGACAGTCACAGCCAGGCGGGCAGTTCTCCCAGCCGTACTGAGCCGCTCAGGTGCGGCTGGTCAACGCATTCGCCATGCAGTGTCGCGGGAGCGACTGAGAAGGCTCGTACGACAAACTTCTTCTTTGAGACAATTAAAAAAAAAATATTACAGACATTACAAACATCGAGAGTATTATTATAACAACGGGGAGAGATCGATGATGCGACGAACGGTGGCTCCAGGGAATGATGAGATGACATGATACGTTCTACGTAGGTGGGGATGGCTGAGGTCTGGAATGGTGGAGTCGATACCGTTGAAAGCCATTACGGTGGGAGGGTGTGATGACGATCTTGAGGAACAGCTGAGGATCGGAAGGTTCATCTTGGGAGGTTTGACTTCATGCATTGGAATGCAAATGATGAGGGGAATCGTTGGAGGGGAACGATTGGAGAGGTCTTGAGGGTGAGGATCTTGGTGGGTCGGTGGACACTGCCAGGCACCCTTTTGATAACAATTACGATTTTTCTTTGATTATTTCATTATTGAAACAACTCGATTGCGGCGATGGCGTCCACTACCTCTTGGGGTTGTTATCCGTGGTAATCGTTCACTTCGACTGGAGAAATGTTACTTCATTTGATTTTTATTTCCGTTATTTCGTTAATTATGGTAGGGGGAGGGGGACTCGTGAGGACTTTTTCCTTTCAGGACTTTTGGGAGAGATGTCTCAGGGGAGGAGGGGGTGGTTTTAATGGTTTTATCGGGAAGTTGTGTTGCCTAAATTCTTTATTGAAACTTTAGGGGGTGTTATTGGGGGACTCTCTCTGAACCTGAGGATACTGATGACTTCCGAACGAAATTCAATGGTTTTGGAGACTTGTGTCTTCAGTTCACGAGTTATAACATGCAAAGAGTAGAGTTGTAAGGTAGAGTAATGCAATGCAAAATTTATTTTTCCCTGATTTTTTTTGCTGAATGATTATTTTGATTTTTCTGTTTGAATTCTTGTAATGATTGACAGAACAGAACAGCACACTGTTAATTGCAAATTTATTATTAACAGAAAAGAAACAAAGTCACTGTACAATTTGATGGTATTAATAAATTCGATGTGGAAAATGAGAGTTGTGTTTTTTTTTACGAAAATGCATTTATTCAACAACAAAATGAAAGTTACAATGAATTTATTTAGATTGTTTTACTGCCTGAATTTTTCGCGACAGTTTTTACAACTGATCAATGATTTTTTAATAAAAAGTGCGATTTTATGTTGGATTACCAAATTTTATACAATCAATTTGCCTTTCAAATGCTTCGAAGATAAGTCGGAAATCAATCATGTTCATTTATTCAGTATTTTCTGCATCATGTAACTTTCTCACTTGAAAAAAAAAATAATAGAAATACAAATCGATCACAAATAAATTGCCAATGTTCAGCCATCTCCCTCTTAGAAAAAAAAATTAAAAAAAGAGTAAGGAAAGAACATGAAACATGTCGCTCCAGTGAGCGTAAAGTATGCAGGAAAAAAATTAAATACTATAAACTTAAATATTAACAGTTTATATATTTTTTTCTTCTTTATGATTTTTTATTTTTTTTGTTTGATTTTTATTTTATATTTTTTTTCGTTTTTCAATCTTTTTTTATCTTTTTTTTATTGTGTATAAATGAGGGAGAGGCTTTGGGGCACCAAGTGCAATTGCAGAAACTCAGAATAATTTAATTGAATTCGTTGAAATCGCGTGAGTCAGAACTGCACCGATTTTAAATAATTCCAGTTATGTAATGAAATCTCTTTTTCATGTGCGATTTTTCGCTGTTATCTGTCACTTTCGCTCTTCCAGTGCTTCCTGCGTTCGTTTTAAATTACAATTCATTGAGCAAAAGTCTCGTCACTCCCCGGTTCTTTCATCCATTCAAGTCTTGTAATATAAATAGTAACAAACAAGGCACAAATATATCATCGGTGAAGTGGTAAGACGTCCCAACATACATTTAATTTTCTACACCTCATTATGCATTGAATTATTTCGATAATGAGGGGAGGACACTTCCTCCTCAAATCACTGGTTTCCCCGATAAATGTGAAAATGCCGAGTGTCGGACGTAACTTCTCACGATTCACCACTTCACCCGATTTTAATCTTTTTATCTCGTCTCATGTCGAGAGGGAAATTACGTATTTATAATTAATTCCTGTTCCCTCTATTTTTATCTCATTGCACAGCAATTTCTCCCTTTCATCTTCTAATCTACTAGTTTTCTTCTCTTTATTTATTTTTAATCTGTATCTCTTTTCATTTCTGTTAGATTATTCAATTTAATTATTTAAGTTCGTTGCAATACCTCCTATCACTCTTAACTCCCAAAGTTGATCCTACGAAATACTCGACTCTAAATATCACAGTGGAAATCACTGGTACATAGCACAGCCATGTTAATTTCACGAGGCTCGTATTTATCACAAAAAAAAAATTATACAAGCTCACTGTTCGCCCCTTGACAAGGATAAATGTCTCAGAAATAAAAGTCTCGGTTGAAGACTCGGAATTACTCTAGGGACGTGGGTAGTCAAGCCCAACGTGTGGCGCCTGCTTCACGAAGATGCTGGCAAGGCTCATGCTCTCCTTCAGTCTTTGATAGGTCCTGCGGAAGACAGTCTTGATTCGGGAGAACACGGCGTAGTCGTAGACTGATCTGGCAGTGTTCGTTAAGTCAAATGGTTCTAGGATAAATTAAAAACGAGTTTGTGATAAATAGGGATTTTTAATGAAGTAGAAAAAAATAAGACATTCAAATCTTGAGTTGAGTGATTTCAAAAAACGATGTAAATCTTTTGGGGAGGAAATTTTATGAGTGACAAAAATAATTCTATTATTCAGTAATTCTTTTTAAGGGGAGACTACTATGAGTTATAAAAGTCGCTGGCGATTGGAGTGAGATTTCTCATGCATTGAAGATCGATTATATATATCTAAAAACGAATAATTAGTGCAAATAATTAATTGTTTATTAGTCGTTTGCCCCGCACACGCTTAAAATATTAAAAATAGTCCAGGGCCTCCAATTTTTGAGTTACGGAGGTTTTTTTTTTTAAATTTTTTGAAAAAATGTGTGCAATAATAATTACGGATTAGTTTTTTGAAATTCGACTCCTACACAGCTAATTTCGTTTTGTTTAAAATAAAAATTTGCGCCATTCATGTAAAATAGGCAAAAAATATCCTTATAATATTTAAAATATATTTTCGATTCTTTCAGAAACATTTTTTGGGCTATTTTGTTGGGCGTCTTTTTCAATCTTTAACAAGAATTGAATTAGACTCTGAAGAAGAGAACATTGACCATTAGCATTCTTCACGAGGGGGTGGGGGTGAAATTTGGTTGCTGAATGTGTTAATAATGGTTGATAAAACCTAATTTGATCACCTATTAAGTAATGACCGCTTTTGATCATTTTTGGCTGAAATTTCTAATACACTTCTTCAAAATTTTTATCAACTTCTAGTTCTACTGAAATTTTAAGGAATTGTGTCATTAAAGTTCATAATTTTATGAAAAATCACTGAAGACTGTAAATTTCATTGCAATTATTCCATGAAAATTGATAGAAATCAGAAAATTTGAAGTAAATGTATTCTTCACTGTTCAACCAATTGACACTTCAGCTTAATTCGGTACTGAATTCTCATGTTTCCATTAAAAATTCTAATAAGTGGGGGAATTCTGGTCATCCTGCTGCTTCAAAGTTTGCAATTGCATTGGATTTTAAACGAAAATTGAAATTTCATTATTTTTTAAATCTAAATTGACTTCAATGTCGCTCGTCTAATAATCATTACTCCATGAAACTCAAATTTTTTCTAACAGTGAATGAGTGGAACATGATGAGTAAATTCCACTTCGCAATGTTTTCTTCTAATTCTTTACCATTGCGCTACCGAATTGATTGAGGTAATTTCATAATAGAGACGTTATATTATGCAATGCAATATGAATTTTTTTCAGGGATTTTTTTTTCCTAGAATAGCAATTACCTTCGATGCAAAGAAATTTCCATTGGTGTGGATCATTCTTCCATGACCTTGCATGACGACAATCGTCAATTGGCACTTTTCTCGCTAGTCTCACTGATATTGCATATTGATTGAAACTGAAATATCAAAGATAGATATAAAAATTTATGAATTATAATTACCACCATGTGTCAGTGACATTCATGAATAAAAACGTTTGGTTATTGAGAACAATTTTTAAAAAATCGATTACTTGCACCCAAAATTAGTTGTAGTGATCATTACAATTTTGCTACCATTTGGCAGCAAAAATAAAAATTTATTTCAATAGGTTCAAAGATGAACCTTAAAGAGCCCTCACAAGCGAAATATCTGCAAGAATTCCTCAGAACCCTCCCTTTAGAGTATATTCTCAAAATAGAATGGCTTTTCTTTCCTACACTGAGAGAAAAACGACAAAGTGCTCAAACAAGTCTTACTTGTGCCAAGAAAACAGTCTTTTGAAAATTATCAAAAAAGGATTTTTTGTGCCAAACATGCAGAGAGTGCGCCGGAGTGAAAAATTTTTGTCGGAAAAATACATTTAGTAGTTAAAAAAAATTGCATTCTCTGTAGACGCAAGAAATGTCATTTCTAGCACTACTCCCTTGTTATTCGATGCTCTCATACACATTTTGCTCCCGAAAAATCTTTGTTTTAGGCGAAACAAGGGATAGTAGTTTTTCGTTTTGACTGTCTAATAATCACAGACAAGAAATGAACCCTTAAATGAAACAATAATGATGTGATGGCAATTTTGTAACTTAGGAATAAAATATTTGTTGATAAATTTTCCTCTATATGAGATATTTTCATCCTGTAAAGGCACCGTCTGGTGTGAATTATCCGCCTCTCGTGCCAAATATTTCGTTGCTGTCGAAAGCAGAGCAATTATTCATGTTTGAGACTTGCAAATTCGAACCAAACAAATTCTTTTTTGACAATTTTCAACTAGCGATTTTGTTGGCCCAAATAAGACTAGTTTGATAACGTGTTTGTTTTTCTCTCAGTGTAATGCTTACCAAATGACAATCATCTACTGCTAAGACTGGAGTAAATAACCAACTCACTCAAAATTCGAGTAATACTTGAAGAAGTCAACGAGCAGTTCTCCGAGAGGCTGTCGATTCGTCTGTGCAAAAGTCTTGGTGGGAAAGTTGAGATCCTCATGTATATCAATCGTATGAATATCCGAGTACGAATTGAACTTGTACCCATACATGGAATGGAGACAGGGTAGGACAGCAGGATGCACTCCACACTGGAGAAAATGAATGACCATGAGTACTAGGGAGTAGCTAGAAATAGTCATGTTCTTGGCATCATTGATGTCCTGGCTCTGGGCCCAGAGCTTCACCACAAGCACCAGAGGCCTGACACGCCAGTCAATCCTCGAGTAGCAGTACAGCATATGAGTGTTTCGAATGCCCACAGCATTATTGCAATTCAAATCCACATCGAGATTCTGCATTCCATCGTGAAACTTGAGGATTGGTACCTTGGCCTGGATCAACGTCAACTGATTGATAAAATCGCAGTTCTTGAGGCAGTTCTTGATCTGGTCTAGGTGGCAGATGGCCTCGTTCCTTTGGATCATCTCGGTGTTTCTCACCAGGAGGCACATGTCGACGTCACTGCTGTCAGATCCAAAGCCATTCATTGTGGATCCGACGAGAAAAAGCCCATACCTTGGGTAAGTTGATTTGATGTAGATGTAGAGGTACTTCCACAGCATCATCTTGTTTCTGAAGGTCGCCTCCGATTGCTGATTACTCAGGAACTTGTTCCAGATGTCTCTGGATAGTTCGTCCCACCTGGCACTGTGAATCATTTTTTATGACATTATTTATTAACAGAATAATTTGGTCATTAACAGGGATTAGTCCAACATTTTTGGGATTATTATTAGAGTTGGAATAATTTACTGTATAACAGTGATGGTCGATAATATTAGATTTTGACAATATTAAGAAGGATTATCTCCTTATATTGTTCAAAGTTTAACTATATTTAACAAATTTGAAATATTATAAAATTTATCAACTAAATTTTTCCGATTGGTGGTGAATAAAATATTTGATAATATTGAAATGTAATTTTTTAGTTAACAAGCTAATTCGAAAATTTAGGTACTTGATTTTCGATTATCCAAATAATCGTCAATCTTCCTAGCTAAATTATTGGTTAATAAATTATTTCAAAATTTGAATGTACAAATTGATGGTTAATTTAATATTTAAAATTTTAAGATTTATGTTAAAAATTGACAACTTCACCATTTAACTGTAATTATGATTGATGAATATGGCTATCACTGCTGTACAAGCCACTCTATTAAAAATTTTCGTTCAGAGGAAAACGTCAGAAGACGTGGATTTCTCGTCAGAAGATTATTTTTTCTCCATGACAAAAATCCCTTTCTTACGTGTGGTAGAATGGACGAGTAATCATGGACTCAACCTCATCAATTCAAGATACAAAAGTTCATTTTTTCCTAGCTCAAAGTTTTGCGGATTATTTTGATACAAAAATGAATAAACTGGTGCATTGACATCGAATTTTGAAATCAGTTAAAAGTGAAGTCAGTAATGAACTAAATCAGTAATGAATCCCCGAGTCCAGTGTGTACTCGGTTTTATCAAAGACCGTGGCACACTTGCCTCGATTCGCATTCGTCTTCGTATTACAAAACGGTCTCGTGTTGTAATACGATGCTGACACCTAATTTCCTCGTAATTATACTATCAAATATTCTGGATCATAACACCCTAAAAAACAAGAAGGGCAACTTTGTATGCACAGATATGCATATTTTGATTAATTGAGATAGAACACATCGAGACAAATATTTTGAAAAAAAACCTGAAATCGGTTGAGTAGTTTTTGAGATATTCAAGAAACTAGATTTAGATACATACTTGAATATCTCCTAAACTAACCATCCGATTCAGCCCATTTTCAATGGGAAACATTCTGGTGTAACGAGGAAACTTCGTGCCAAATTTCAAGTTAATATGTCGATTTTTGCGAAAATGAGAGTGCTACCAAGGATTTTTAGCAAAAAACCGAAAAATGGAAATATCTCGGAGACTTTGTATGAACGGGTATGCATATTGTAATTGATTAAGATAGAAGACATCGCGACGAATATTTTGAAACAAAAATTGGAATCGGTTGAGTAGTTTTTGAGATATTCAAGAAACTAGATTTAGGTACAAACTTGAATATCTCCTAAACTAACCACCCGATTTAGTCCATTTTCAATGCGAAACATTCTGGTGTAACGAGGAAACTTTGTGCCAAATTTCAAGTTAATATGTCGATTCTCGCAAAAGTGACAGTGCTAGCAAGGATTTTGAGCGAAAAACTGGAAATGTCTCGGGAACTTTGGATATTTTGATTATTTGAGATACAAGACATCTAGACGAATATTTTGAAAAAAAGAATTGAAATCGGTTGAGTAATTTTTGAGATATTTGCGAAAAACGATTAAAAAACAAATGCCGATTTCTCAAGAATGGCTGGATCGATTGAGCTGAAATTGAGCACAGAGTTAGTTCTCATTAATACCTATAATCTGAGAAAATTTCAGATTTTTCGGAATCATTTTACTCTTTTGCTTCAATTTTCTAAAAGTTGAGCACCAGCATGGCACCCGCACACACGGCGGTCAAACTTCGTATTTTTACGTTTGAGACCATTCTACATCATTTGCAAGCAAAATAAAAGAATCGAGAAATAGAGTGATTCCAATGCTCCCATTTGGAAGCAAAAATAACTCAAAATAATAGTTCGTCCCACCTGCCACGCACCAAATCCTCAGGAGTCTTGTGCACCTGCATGAGGTGTGACCTTGCGAGAAACCTGTCAGGTGCGATATAGGGTCTGGGGTAGAAGTTGAAGGTGGGTACCATGATATCCGAGAATTTACGTCTATTCTGGGTCTTCTGGGCCGGAGGTGAGCTGGAGCTCCTGCCACTGTGGTAACGCTTTTTGCTCTGATAGTTCTGTTGAATCTGCGTTGTCCTTGCTGCTGGGATTGTGCTGTGGTAGTAGTTGAGGGGCCTCTGCTGTTGGTAGTACTGGGGGGCCAGGTTTGAGATGAGTCCCTGGGGTGTGAGAGTGACGTTGTGGATGGCGACTGGGTGAAGCTCGTGGAGTCGTTTGATCTCGAGGTCTGATGACGACGTGGATTCACGATCGTCTGAGCTCTCTGTCTGGCTACCATCTGTGTGCTTGTTCGGGGTTGGGGAACGCGAGCTGAAGCCACTGTCACTGTTGCAGGGCTCGGGGGGCCGCTCCTTGGGAGCCTGACGCTTCGACTTGGACGTCCAGTGGGACTTCCTCAGGGAGGTGAGACCGTTCTGACGGTAGTTCAGGTGCGATGTGGGTATTGATTGGGTGTTGTTGGAGTTTGTGCTGTTTCGTCTCTGCCAGGGGGTGAAATTACTCGTTGGCGTCCCATAGCTGGGCCTACGAAACTGCGGAATCTCCACGCCCATCATTTGGTATAGCTCCAGGGGGTACTGAGGACTTGTCTGTGTAGCGAAAACAAAAGTTTTGATTTCAAGGGAGATGCCGGTGATTTTCAGGGACATTTCACTGATTTTTCATACCATTGTGACATTTAACGCGTGAATCATTTTGGGATTCAGTGATTTTGTCAATAATTTTCAATAATATTCAGAAAGAAAAAGAAAATCTGGATTCTAGAGAAGAAAAGTACTGAATTCCAGGGAAATTCCTCCGAGAATCGAAGGAAAAGGTGTAGTTCTCAGTCATTTTTGCTGAAATCCAGTGAGACAATCTAAAGAATTTTTGTTATATATTTTTTCTTGAAAATGACCCGGAAGATAATAGATCTAGAGGAGAAGGAAATACTTCTTACATTATGAAATGTTCTATAAAAAATCTCAGAATGTTTTTCAATACCACGACTCGTTAGCGAAATATTCGATGAATGATGACAACGTCAGAAGATTTTTTTTTATAGATCATCAAACTTTCTACAAGAAAAATTTCCGCCCTAAAGATATTTGCATTATTATATAACAATAAGCCGATAAAATTTTTTAGTCTCCAATTCTCCAATTCTCAATTTCTGTCATTTATTCTATTTATTCTGTCAAAAGACAAGGATGGAAATCGAATTTATGGGTATTCTTCCATTATTCGAAAAATTATATCGATTTTAAAACTTTCCGGAGCCACTGAAAGTTTTTTTTAAATTTCTTCCCGCCTACATTTTTTGCATTTTTTTTTCATTTCTTCTCGTTAGAATTAGATCGTAAAATTCCAAAATATTCATATTCCGCCCATATTCGAATAAGAAACTGATTCCAATTTTCCACCGACATAAATAAAGATAAATAATTGTTCTCCATTTTCTAACTGATCATCCCTTTTAAAAAATTTTCAGTCTCCAATTCGCGATTTTTGCAATTCATTGGTATTTATGTAATTCTATTCATTCGAAAGGAATCGAATTTATGGGTATTCTTGCAGTATTCGAAAAAAAAATCGATTTTAAAAATTTTCAGGAATACATGGAGAAATTTTTATTTTTATTTTTATATTACCCAAATGAGATTTCGAATGACTTTTGTTTGGTGGCTGATAAAAAAAAATACTTTTTATTGATCTTTAACATAATTCCTCTTTATTCAATGTTGTACCATGTGAATTAACGAAAAATTAATCTAATTGTGAAGACGGAAATGCAAAGGAAATAAAATAAAATAGAATAGTATAAACAAGCGCGATGCGCCCGTTCGCTAGCAGTAATATGAATTATTCATTCGTAAACAAAATAATCAAAAAACCCACTCTGCAGATCATGCCCTCACTTGGTAAATAATTCAAAATCATCACTAAAAGTCATTTCAAGAAGAAATAAAAAAACATTAATGAATCCATAATTACCTGCATCAATCGATGGCTCTGAGAATTGCCATCAAACACGTAAGGAGCTGGAATTTCAGTGGGAGTAGTTGCAGTACTTGTCGCAGGAATTGAAGGAGAGGGAATATTAGGACACTGTCCATTCGTTTGCTGACCACTGACAATCTGTACCATCATGTGAGGTGGCAGCATAGTGTGATACATAGTCAATCAATGGTAAATTAATAATCTTAACCCCTTCGTACTGCGACATATGTGTAAATGATAGATTATTCCCCGCAAAAAATCTCCCTCAAAAGGAACAAGTAAAAAATCGACTAAAAAACGTGAATTGGACTTGAGTCTAGATTCATCCGAGTGTTTTATCAATCTTTGTACCTGTCAAGTGCGGAGGGATAGGGATGGGGATACTGCAGGGTTACTGGGGGTGGGTATCATGTTCGTACTTCACTATCAAGAGCCTCAATTTCCCAGCATTGCGGGGTCGGGGGACGAGTCATCAAATGAAGAGCTTGTCTTCAACCCTCAAAGACCCACTTCCCCTGAAAAAAATGCTTGCATTAGGGGAGGGTGGGGCAAAATGAAGACTTAAGATTTTTTTTATTAACCCCTCAAGTACGGCGCCCATATCGTGCGCTGTGTCTACTCGAATTCGCTGTTCAATACGCAACAATTTTTACACTGATGAGCAAACACTATCATCTAAAATTTAATGATAATCTTGAGATTATCATTAAATTACAAATTAATTAATTAATTAATTAATTATTAATCAATTATTTATTATTACTAATTTATTATTATTAATAATTATTATAATTATGATTAATTTATTTTGCTGGTTGTTCAATGACGGTGTTCCTTTATACAAATTTTTCTGGAATTTTTAAGACTAATCTCAGTTCGATAGTACAAACGGTTGCCAAGATGGGCGATTGTCGGAAAATTGTTAATATTAAATCAGAAATTCATTGAATCGAAATTTCGTCTGCGCCATTTGACAAAGGAATGTATACAGTATGTTCGGTAAAAATTTCGGAATGTTTAATGAAAATTAGCTCGATAAACGAGAGGTTTGAATATGCATCTGACATCGAATTCAGATCCGTATTTTTTATGTATTGAAGAAAAATAATAAAAATAATTTGAAAACATAATCGAGTCGCATTGTGCTGATAATTTTATCGATTTTATGGGAAAATTTTTAGAATTTCGATATCTACAATAGTACGGAAGATAATTAATTTTTATTAATCACGGACAGCTATATGACATAGCCGCCGGCCGGTAGGACAAGCTCTCGGGTCTATGTGGTATGAATACCGTACTTGAGGGGTTAATGTTCGAATGGAACATACGAAATTTTTAAAAACAATTCTATGAATCAAACCAACTATTATTGCTATCGCCTTCATCTTCGAGCTCGGTCAAAGAAACATCGAAACAATTTTTTAAGCAACAATTTAATGAATTCAAAACATTTTTTGGAGTTATCGTGGGACAACCGATTTTTGAAAAAAATAGAACATTCTAAAAATTAATGTATGAATTAAATTTTATTAAAATTTATTGTATGAAATAAAATTCATTAGCGAGCAATTGAAGAAAAACTTTGTCACATATTGCATTTTCGAACTTTTTGGATCATAATGAGTTGACGTAACTAACAAAAATCAAAACTTGAATTTGAATTATTACAGAGTGAGGTGAGGGGACCCACAGTCCCCGTTTGGCCTGTCTTGCAAAATTAAACTGGGGTAAAATGAAATAGACGAAAAACGACTCTTTAACGCAATTCAGGCAAAACAATTTTTTTTTTCATTAACGTTTGCTTATTAACTTTTTTTCAGTAGAATGAAAAATTATTATGAAGCTAGGACGGGAGAAGATTTTGTAAATGGATTAATTGAAAAGAAAATGAAACAGCAAAATCCCAAGTCCAGAGGAAGGCCCAGGGGGAGACCCAGAGGAGGAAAAAGGAAAATGATGCTGAATTTCAATCGAATGAAAAAAGAAAAGTGCAATCGGCCTAATCTAATCAATTGATTTATAATCCATAGAATTATAAGTCGAACAGAAAAGTAATTATTCTCATCAGTGCTCCCAATGATAAAAGAAGTTGATAAACTAAAGTTGATGAAAAAAAATTTTTTTTTGCTTGAATTGTGTCAAATAGTTGTTTTTCGGCTGTTTCATTTTTCCCCATGTTTCATTTTGGCTCACTCTCCCCTAGATTCTAAACTGTAGTACAGCTACTTAGCATTTTTCAATAGCTGGGGATTGTTATAAAAATTACCTATGAAAAACATGGAGACAATCTTAAGAAAAACATGTTTTCTAGGGCTATACCTTAAAACCTCAATAATTCCTGAATAAATCCTACGATTGGTATAAATCAGGTCGCACTTCAGAGCCTAAAAAAATACCTCAAAATTGATAAAAAATAATTGTTTACTTTCAATTATTATTCTGTGCTGAGTTATTGAGCTATTACCGACTAAAACCGTCTCATTATAAAATTCTGCCGGTGGATGGGTTCTAGGTTACTTCCCAAATCAATCCCCAACCTCAAAAAATCCACCAAAAAGATCCCCAGGTTCTAAAGCCTGTCAACAACCCACTCGATCCCCAAAAGCAAAACCAAATACGTAAATAACAAAAAAGCCATGGAAGCGTTTTCGAATCCCCACGTAATCCCGAAAACCTAAAAAATGTGACCATGTCACGTTCCCCCAGCCGCTCCAAAACAATTATCCCGATCAGAAAACAAAAAAAAAATGTGACAAATACTCACGATCAGCGGGGACAGCGAGAAGTCGCCATTTCCCGCATCATCCCTGGGATTTCCCGATGGAAAATGGAATTTTCTCCTTTCCTATTACCTCCGGATTGCCACGAAGACACTCCCGACGAATTTTTCCACCGAGACCGAAAGTAATCCCCGGCGAAAAAAAAAATTAAACCTTACGTTAGCCCCGATGGAGCTGTTTGATCAGATAACTTCCGCGAATGAAATCCAACCGAAAATAATGTTTTTTCCCCTCAGTCTCCCGTGATTCCGACGCGTCAACTTGACTGCTCCAAGCGAATCGTTAGATTTTTGAATTCTGTCATAATTCCAAAGTTGATAGTAGTCCCCGGGGGGTCCGGTAGATGTCCGTCATCTCTTGTTTTCGGAGGGCTGTCGTTGGCAGTCGTTGGAGTTATTTTGAAAAGTGAAACATGGCGTTTACCCTGTGGACTCTGTTCGAGGCAACACTTTTGTGTTTAAATGCCGTCTGTGTCCTTCACGAGGAGAGATTTCTAGTCAAGAGTGAGTATTGACCTGTATTTAGTCACAAGAATCGACCGGGTTTTGACTTTTCAACTCCCAGGAGAAAGTTAACCTCAAATGTCTTGACACGTCGGTTTGATTCTGACGGATTATTCCCTCTTCTCACGGGACAATGAGGCGATTTGATCCGATGACGGTATCACTGAATTCGTAATGTGGGATTTTGTGTTGTTATGGTTATGAGGAAATTTTTCCTGGGAATTATTCCAATGATTGGAGACTGGCAGAACTTTGCTGACTATTTTTGCTTGTTTTTGTGATAGTTGGATGGGGAGCCCAGCAGAATATTCAGGGGTTTGGGGAACCTCCTAGTGTCAAGTCACAGGCCATGCATCTTGTGAGGTCGATAAGAACTGTGGCGAGATGTAAGTTGATTTGTGGGACAGAGAAGTCGAAGTGGAAGAAGGGGGATTCAGGGATCGAGTGGAATTGTATGAGCTGGGTAAAACATGATCAGTATTTATGGTGTTATCTCGAGAATGGGCGGTTTGAGGAGACAATGGCAGAAGATATCTTTTGAAGCCCATGAAATTTCCAAGAAGAAAGATTTTATGAGATTTCGGTCAAAAATACATCGTTCTTGAGAAAATTTCGATATGAGGAAACGGAACTTCTGTGTCGATAGGAACTTTTGGAATTGGGTTTTCTACTACAATTATTACCTTTTATCTACGAAACTAGTTTATCGACTCGATCATTGCATTGTTGAGTCAGTGAAGTAGTTTTATAAATAAACAAATAGCGGGCAGCGAGCATGTGGTAGCGCGTCTTATCACAGTGAGCATGTCACTGCAGTGATAGATAGGATTAGTTATTGTTAACGAATGGATTTGGTTGGAGAGGCGAGGGTCTATCATGAGGAGACAATGGCAGAAGATATCAGTATTTATGGTGTTATCTCGAGAATGGGCGGTTTGAGGAGACAATGGCAGAAGATATCTTTTGAACCCCATGAAATTTCCAAGAAGAAAGATCTTATGAGATTTCGGTCAAAAATACATCGTTCTTGAGAAAATTTCGATATGAGGAAACGGAACTTCTGTGTCGATAGGAACTTTTGGAATTGGGTTTTCTACTACAATTATTACCTTTTATCTACGAAACTAGTTTATCGACTCGATCATTGCATTGTTGAGTCAGTGAAGTAGTTTTATAAATAAACAAATAGCGGGCAGCGAGCATGTGGTAGCGCGTCTTATCACAGTGAGCATGTCACTGCAGTGATAGATAGGATTAGTTATTGCTAACGAATGGATTTGGTTGGAGAGGCGAGGGTCTATCATGAGGAGACAATGGCAGAAGATATCAGTATTTATGGTGTTATCTCGAGAATGGGCGGTTTGAGGAGACAATGGCAGAAGATATCTTTTGAACCCCATGAAATTTCCAAGAAGAAATATCTTATGAAATTTCGGTCAAAAATACATCGTTCTTGAGAAAATTTCGATATGAGGAAACGGAACTCCTGTGTCGATAGGAACTTTTGGAATTGGGTTTTCTCCTACAATTATTACCTTTTATCTACGAAACTAGTTTATCGACTCGATCATTGCATTGTTGAGTCAGTTAAGTAGTTTTATAAATAAACAAACAGCGGGCAGCGAGCATGTCACTGCAGTGATAGATAGGATTAGTTATTGCTAACGAATGGATTTGGTTGGAGAGACGAGGGTCTATTCGGTCTTAACAAATGTTCATTCATTAATAGTTAACAAATGCACATTTGAGGAGCCTTGTTTGACTCGAATTTCACTCTTCAGGTGAACCATTCGTTAATTATTAACGAATATTCATTTGGTCATATTCAACTCTACCATTCGTTAATAGTTAACGAATCTGGTTTGGAATAAATAAATCAGTCTATCAGTGTGAGTGATGTCTCATTTTTTTTAACACGCCTGCAAANGATCTTATGAGATTTCGGTCAAAAATACATCGTTCTTGAGAAAATTTCGATATGAGGAAACGGAACTTCTGTGTCGATAGGAACTTTTGGAATTGGGTTTTCTACTACAATTATTACCTTTTATCTACGAAACTAGTTTATCGACTCGATCATTGCATTGTTGAGTCAGTGAAGTAGTTTTATAAATAAACAAACAGCGGGCAGCGAGCATGTGGTAGCGCGTCTTATCACAGTGAGCATGTCACTGCAGTGATAGATAGGATTAGTTATTGTTAACGAATGGATTTGGTTGGAGAGGCGAGGGTCTATCATGAGGAGACAATGGCAGAAGATATCAGTATTTATGGTGTTATCTCGAGAATGGGCGGTTTGAGGAGACAATGGCAGAAGATATCTTTTGAACCCCATGAAATTTCCAAGAAGAAAGATCTTATGAGATTTCGGTCAAAAATACATCGTTCTTGAGAAAATTTCGATATGAGGAAACGGAACTTCTGTGTCGATAGGAACTTTTGGAATTGGGTTTTCTACTACAATTATTACCTTTTATCTACGAAACTAGTTTATCGACTCGATCATTGCATTGTTGAGTCAGTGAAGTAGTTTTATAAATAAACAAATAGCGGGCAGCGAGCATGTGGTAGCGCGTCTTATCACAGTGAGCATGTCACTGCAGTGATAGATAGGATTAGTTATTGCTAACGAATGGATTTGGTTGGAGAGGCGAGGGTCTATCATGAGGAGACAATGGCAGAAGATATCAGTATTTATGGTGTTATCTCGAGAATGGGCGGTTTGAGGAGACAATGGCAGAAGATATCTTTTGAACCCCATGAAATTTCCAAGAAGAAAGATCTTATGAGATTTCGGTCAAAAATACATCGTTCTTGAGAAAATTTCGATATGAGGAAACGGAACTTCTGTGTCGATAGGAACTTTTGGAATTGGGTTTTCTCCTACAATTATTACCTTTTATCTACGAAACTAGTTTATCGACTCGATCATTGCATTGTTGAGTCAGTTAAGTAGTTTTATAAATAAACAAACAGCGGGCAGCGAGCATGTCACTGCAGTGATAGATAGGATTAGTTATTGCTAACGAATGGATTTGGTTGGAGAGACGAGGGTCTATTCGGTCTTAACAAATGTTCATTCATTAATAGTTAACAAATGCACATTTGAGGAGCCTTGTTTGACTCGAATTTCACTCTTCAGGTGAACCATTCGTTAATTATTAACGAATATTCATTTGGTCATATTCAACTCTACCATTCGTTAATAGTTAACGAATCTGGTTTGGAATAAATAAATCAGTCTATCAGTGTGAGTGATGTCTCATTTTTTTTAACACGCCTGCAAAGGAAAGTTCGTATTTGGCTCTTTGATGAACGGGAGGAAAGTATGAATTTTCCTTGCAGGTGTGTAATAAAATAATTTCATAGTTTTTTCAATAGTAAAACAGGAAATCCACAGCTACTCTATATTTCAAAGTTCAATGCAAAATTGAATAGAGTTGAAATTTATTTGTTAATATCTCTTCCAACTATAATTTCTCTCCATAAAAAGATACCGACACGATTCTGTTGAAAAATGTTTGTTGAAATTTTTCATGATTAAAAGTTAAATAGGACCAACTTTTTTGGGTGTCCATTTTACCCCACTCTTGAATAATTTTTCGGTTGTGGCCTTTGCCAAGAAACAATTGGTGAAAATTTTTTCAGCGTCCATTTTTTTTGTTCAGCGTTTTAGTTCATTCTATACGGTTTTGCCAGGTGCCCATATTGCCCAATACAACAATGTTCAAAAATTTGAATTTTGAAAAAAAAATGTCTTCACAAATTTTTTGAGTGTCTATTTTGCTCCACATGTTCATATTGCCGCATCCTCCCCTACCTTTTATCTACGAAACTATTTTATCAACTCGATCATTGCACTGCTGAGTCAACGTTTTATAAATAAAAAATAATACTTGCAGGAGAAAACACAATCTGAAAAATTCATAAAGACACAGGCGTTCCGTTTCCCCTTAATAGAATGGATAAAAATTCGTTGTCAGTAGATCGAGCGAGACATATTTGTAATTCCTCTTCAAAACTAATGATTTTAAGGAGAAGTCCTAGATGATTTTTTCGTAGCTGATGAATTCCATACAAAAATATTTTATGATATTTCATTAAACAGTCGGTTGTTATCGACATAATTTCATTATTAATAGAATTAATGAAAACACGTCAGTTGTAGATCGAATGAGACGTATTTGTAAATTGTGTCACTGCCTCCAGAGCTCATCATTTTAGAAGAAAACGTCAGAAGATATTTTGTTTAAAGATCAATCATTCTTCAAATTTTCAACTAACGATTTTGTTGGCCCAAACACGAATTATTTGAGAACTTGTTCGTTTTTCATATATCTATCAACATGAAAAATTACCAGTGGAATTATCACAAATTATCAGTTGAACACCGTGTTGACTATATAAAATAACAATCGAATAGTGCAATTCTATGGGCTGAAATTTGGATGGGAATAATTCTCGAAATAATTTACCGTAAAACGTCAACTTCTGCATTTCTATTAATTGACATTCAGATGGGGGGAATGATCTCTAAAATCCTGACGTTTTACCTGAAAATCTCTTATCCACATAATTAAAGTGAAATTCTCCCTCTGATAGACTAATAAATTCTCATTTTTTCTCCACAGATCCCCTAATATTCCTCAACATTCTGACGATACTCGTGAAGCTGGTGCTGGGATGATGGAATAAATGTATAAATTATCAATCCCTAAATAATTAATGTCTCCCAGGAGCGATGTACATACAAGTCCCTATGACGATTTTATAATAAAAGAATCTTCAATTACCACTAGTTCATGTTGAAACAGCTCTCCACTTCTTCCTGAGAGCCGTAATGAGTGAGTAATATTAGGAAAATTCACCCATGAAATTATAAACAAGAAATGTTTCCTTCGCGGGTAATGACATTCATAAATAACCATTCTCCCTCAATTTGCATTAGCAAAAATCCATCAACTTGGAAATAGCTCTGCGGAGACGAGTAATAATTCACTCGTCCATGCAGTATTTTCTCCTTTTTTTTTCACTGACACTTATTTTTTTCGTCAACAAAACCAAAGGAAAAAGTACACTGCACCGAGGGTATTACGTAGTAGGTCATACATGTTACACAGTAGTCAATAATTACTGGGAAGCCAACGGACAGAGAGCGGATGTGACAGTAGCAAGAGTGACGTGTCGTTAATTTCAATTTAGACGTTATTAGACGTTACAAAGAGAAAAGAAAAACAAAAAATTGCACAACGAGAAGAAAAAAAGAAGAAAGAATTTCAAGCAAAAGTCGGAAAATTACGGTGATTACAAAATATAACACTCAAACTGCTGCTACAGACAATCGACAATTGTCTGACATAATTCTTTTCTCTCCGATGTTTTCTTCATTCAACTTATTAACAAGTGTTATATTTCGTTTGGAGTAAATGGGTTGACTCTCACGGTTGTAATTCATGACTGCAATTTTGGTTTGTAACAAATTGGCAGGGATTACAACATGAAACATGTTCGTCACTCTCTCGAGTCCTCGCAGTTGTACCATTCAGACGAACTGGAGCACCTGTGGCTGCCTTTTATTACTATCACTACTTCGTCTTCATTATAATCGTAGTTTGTACAATTTTCACAGTCAAAACGTGTTTATGAATTTTAAATGTTGCACCTTGTGGTTCTCACGAGTCGAGTACTTTCCCTGGCTGATGGTACACGCGTTTTGTACGTGTTCTTATATTCATACGTGAATAGATGATTGTTGAGAGGTGATTATTATAATAATAGGGGGTAATTGCGGTGGGAGTGGAGGGTGATGTGCCAAATTTGACATTTTTTAAAATTATTACTGTATTTCCCTTGATATTTGGGGGCTTGGGAGATGGCAAAAAACTTTTTTTTACAATTCCATGGTAAGAAAATAAACTAACAATGTATATGGATCAATTATAATTAATTGTTTTGATGAGAAAAAGATTTCAAGAACGAATGATTTTGTGAAGAGACATCTTCAAACCTCGTTTATTATGAAATTTCAGCTACAGAGCGTTCTCTTTCTGAAATCACCAATTCCGGAGTATTCTCAGGGAATGACAAATGTTTTTTGTGACAACTTCATTATAAGGAGAATGAACAAATTACATAATGGATCGGTGATGATTCATCATTTCCGTATTAAAATTATTTTCGCTGATTTTGAAACAAAATCTGATGAAATAGTCACAGAAAAGAAACATTTTTTAAACTTATTTTTTTTCTTATCACTCACAGTAATGTGACAGTACATGAAAAACTAAAAAATACTTCCATTTTGTTGCATTCCATTATTTCAAAACTAAAATTATTTAAAAACTGAATGATTTTGAGAAGAAACCTCCCTAAACATTTTTTATTATGAAATTTATAAGTTACGAAACAGATCTTCTAAAATTACTAAGCCATTAACAATTCAATCAACTATTAAGATTTTAAAAAAGTAAAAAGTATCACTTTGGCTCCACTCGCCCCTAATTTCCAATTAGTAAATGTCATGTTTGACTCATTACACACGTCTCCCCCCTGACTCCTGATGCGAATGACTCATCAAAGAAAAATAGATTCGAATCAATTGATGTGCGAGTGATACAGCAATCAGTCCTTAATTGTCCGAATCCCTCATCCTCCAGTAGAAAAAATAAGAGTTTCACAAGTGGAGCAAAAAGCGGGTTGCGATTAATATTTAGCACACGACTGGTACGAATATACATGGGATGATTCGTCTTTCGGAATCGTCCTCGAAGAGCAACGCTTTCGTGACGTGCATGCCAAGAAAACACGAAAAGAGGAATTCCTATAAGAGTGTGGATGCGTAATCATTGCGCAGACTGACTCGTTCCAGTTTTTTTTCGGTCTGAAAACGAAAGAGAAATGCTTAACTGAAATTACTGATGTTATTTCTTCCGTTCGGACAATCCCAAATATTCGAATTTTCATCTGTCTTGAGGCAGGAAGCGCCATATTCGTAAATCATAATTGCCGTTAAATTTTTAAGTAGTCAATTCGTTAATACCAGTCTTAAATTTTTTATTCGTTCTTTCTCAATTTTTAAAAATAAATTTTGCAACTTGATTCGAAGAACATCTGGTCATTCGATTTTCTTTCGCGTTGAAATTCATCAGGATAAAGTCAAGTGCAGGGACAAATCATAACATAAATCGTAACATAAAAATATGATGAAGTATACAACTTTATAATTTACAATTATTTACCATGCTCATAACGGAAGTTTTTTTAAATTCTTGCAATAACCGTATACCTTTCAGTTTTCACGGATACTTTTCCTTTCCATTTTTGCTTCCCGAGTTTTAACTATCGTTCTTTCCGAGGTGTTCCCTCGTGGTCACCATTCTAAGTAGTGACCACGCTCAGCGCTGCATAGCTTCCCAAATCTAAGTCTGCCCGCCAACGCAGTGCGTTAGCCTTTCAGGAATATTCATAGCGGAAGTATTATACCTACAAATATCCAACACCCAAAGATTAACAGGTTTATGTGGAAATCGTTACCGCTGCACTTGCTCTTTTATTCCTATAAATCTTCATGCATTGCATGAACCCAAGGACCTTTTCAACACAACGGAACCATGAAAAGACGTTTTTTTCTTCCAACTGCCTTCAATTCAAATGAAATACAAATAACTAAACAAATCGTGTTACTGCCGGACATGAAATCCACCTCGTTATAATCCGTTCAAATTTCATTACAAATTTATGTTTTATTCAGTTTCTGATTAAATTCACCTATTTATTAAAACTAAAACAGGGTGCGCGCTTCGCGCGCGTATTGTTTTCCGTGGGTACCGGAATAGTAAAACCTTACCGTTTCTTACTTTCATTAATTTTTATCTCAATAATGCAGGAAAAATTGATGGTTTCAACAAAGTTTTTCCCAATGAGAATTCAATTCAGTAATGAAGTGGTCAATCGGTTTAAATCGACTTACCTCCCAGTTGAGTTTTTTTCGATAGTCTTCACTTTTCTTTACAAGAACGATTTTTAGGAAAATTTTGCTAACGCCTTTAGAAGTTGAGATATTCATCAAGAACTGGCGCTAAAATGGAATTGACTTAAACCGCTTAAAAAATATATGTATAGTATATATGTATATATCATATATTTTTTTTAGTATATATTATAAGATATATACATGTATACTATGTTATATACGTATTTTTTTATTACAGTTAGAAATGGATTTCCCTTTTTTTACAATTACTGTGGACAAAAGATTACAGTACATAAAAAAATATACATAGACATCATATTACATTACTTCATTTATTCTTATTCATTCATTCAGTTATTTATTCAAGTATTTGTCATCATTTATATTTTTCATCCAAAACTCATAAACTACTGCAAAGGAAAAAAACAATTGCAAGACTAGACTCTTTTGTATGATCGTCTCCCATAAAAAATGGGTTCTTCATTTCGACTCCGTCATTTATAGTCTTGAATATGATTGAACCCATAAAAAATTCTCTCGCAATTGCATGAGCCCAAGGACGATTCCAGTACAACAGAACCACGAGAAGACATCCTTCCTCTTCCACCTGCCTCCAATTCACATAAAATGAAAGAAAAAAACAAATCGTGTGACTCTGCCCGACATTAAACTCACCTCGTCATAGCCCGTTTACTTTCGAATCTTACCCGGATTTCGCAACCCCGGGGACCTTCCTCATTGCAAACGTGTCGTACTGCCCGTGCGTTTACCGCTTTAATTTACGTCATGTCCAGTTGTTCAGAAGGGGTTCACCAGTGCCGTCCGAGGAGAAATGAAGAAGAAGAGCGTTCCTGGGTGCATCTGAGGCCTGCCATTGGCTGCGCAGAGTGAAAGGAGAAAGGCACTTCTTCTCTCAAAAGTGAAAAAAAAACCGTAAAAATGACATATCAATGAAATAAAAGTAATGAAGAGGCATAAAGAAAAATATCAAAACACGTGCTGGTTCATTAGTGGCTCTCATTCGACGAATAATCCCTCATTCTCCAAGCCATTAGCCATTACCCACTGGGACATGAAAAATAAATTATTTGTAGGCAATTTTCAACGGTGGCGACGTATTTTTTTTATTTTTTTGTTTTCTACAAAAAAGCCTTTATACAAGTATAAAAATGCACGATTGAGTATAAAACAAGAATTAAGTAAAAAAATAGTGTTTCATGTTTGTATATCTTCGAGACGACTGTCTCAGACGGCATATCCGGTTTCCCCTGTACCCCCTTCACAGACTTGTAGAATTTCCTGCAGACGATCACGTGTTCATTAATTGAATGCCCTAAGTTTGCCCACGTACTCGTCTCCAGTGAAAAAAAAACAAATCGCCAAGTTAATCGCCTCCAGACGTTAGAATTTCACTCTCTCGCCCGAACAAGCCTCCTCCGGCTTAACCTCTCTTCCTGCCCTCCTGCGCTTCCGGTCTTGCATAACTCCACCAATGGATTTTCATCTTGTCCTTTCTCACAGGTGAAACTCTCTGAAATTCTGCCGATTACCAGAGGTAGCATTGAACACCTGGCAACGCCGTCCAACTCAATCCTCTCTGATGTTTACATTAAAAAAAAAAGCGTGTGGAATTTTATTTACAAAATGCGCAAGTTAGCGCAAAGATCACGATCATTCTCCTCCAACTCTTCGTCCTCAATAGTTTCCCTACATCTGACGCGTCAGATATTTTGTCTATGGTTTTGTCTCTTGGGTTTTTATATTTCGTTGATAAAAGGTCATCTCTTTGATTACCATCGCTCTTCATCACCATACGATGACGATGTTACTTTTGTCCGACATATTCCTCCTCAATCATCGCCCTTCATCGAGTCAAGGCGAATAGCTGTTGATCATTTCCTCGGGGAAATGCTCCATTCATTTCCCCTATTTTCCTGGTCTTCCCTCGGGCATTTATGCTGGACGAATGAACCTTGATATCTGTGGATTACCTCGCTGGGGGTACGACTAGGCCTCAGTGAGGATGACCAGAGATTTCCAGAGCTTTCTTGTTGGAGAACGCCCGCGTCCATACACGAAGCTTCAATTGATGTTGTTGGTTCATGCCCTTGGGATGTAGATTAATGGTTTTGGATTCTTAGAAGGGGGCACCGTAGCTGCCGCTGGGCCTGCTGGGTGCACCGTAACTGCCGGAGGGTGCACTTGGGTATCCCGAGGGTCCACTTGGATATCCACCGAATGAACCACCGCCGCTACCCTGGCTGACCTGGTGCAGCTGGGCAACTTGGATGGCCTGCCTTATTCCCTCGAGATCGACTCCAACAACGCGTCCACCACCGAAGGATGGCACTCCGTACTGGGATGACGGGGGTCCGTAGCTGCCGGATGGAGCGCCGTAGGACGAGCTTGGATATCCACCTGATCCGCCTGAACCGCCCGATCCGGACTGGCTCTCCTCCTTCAGAAGAATCTGGCGGATCTGCTCCAGGAGGGCACCATCAACCTGAGCGCCCTCGTTGGACTGGTAACCTGAGGAGACTTGGGTGTAACCACCTCCGCCTGATGAAAAACCACCGCCTCCGGAGAAACCACCACCGCCTGAGTATCCACCGCCGCCGGAGTAACCACCACCTCCTGATGAGTGGCCACCACCGCTCGGTCTGTTGTAGTTGTATCCGACTGGCGGCTCAGCAAGGGCTAGCCCTGCCAGGGCGATGAATGCGCACTGAAATTGGAAAATTACATTTAAATGTCGGGACTTTCACACGACAAATTTCGACAAATTCTCGTCACTTTTCTTTGATGTTTGAAGTGTTCGATATGCTCTTTTCTGGACATAACGGATTGGAAAAACGTCTTTACAGAAGTTTCGAGATGTTTATAGAGAACTAATCCTTTTCAGTAAAGTCGACTTATAGAAATCACAACTGATTTTAATCAGCGACAGAATCCAATGTATATCTTACCGCAAAAAGAGGATTCATGTCAGTTACTGCTATGCCGTTTTGGCTCTGTTTGACTCTGACTATGGCAACGGGGTTACCTTTATATCCCAGATGGTGGATGCCAAACGATTCGAGGTAGCACGTGGGGGAAATACAACGAAGAAGAGACGGGGGCAGAATCCAGAGTGAGAGTAATGCCTCCTTTTCCCCACCTCTCTGGGGTCTACCCTCTCTTCTGGATGTACATTCGCCTCGTAACGCGGGTTACACCGGTACCCCGTCTTCATGCACCTCGCTCGGTCTCTTATATCTTGTAATCATTGGGATTCCTCGGAGCTTGTGAGGCTTTCGGAATTGAATTGCGACAGGTAGGACTCGTTCTTTTCAAAAGTCGTCGGATGACACTTGCCACGTCAATTCGCCAATGTCCTAGACCTAGACGGGTTTGCACACTTGGATGACTATTTCACTCGACTTTTGTTGCAATGATGTTCTAAGTCGATTATGTAAAATTATGAGGTATTGGCCTCGTTACGACTAGTTGAAATGAGACAAATCGCTACGATTCTTGGTAGAGTTATTGCATTCTTTTGTGAATAGGTGGGAAAAAATTGAAGAGGAAAATCAAGCGCATTTTCTGGGGAATTCTATCAGATTTCTACGGAAGTTTTTCAACGGAAAAATCGCGTAACTTTTGAATATTTATTGGAAAATGTTGTAGAGAAAAATCCATTGATTTTTGGAATTATGTCTATTGAAATTTCTTGGATTAAACATTATACACTGAGAACAACGAAGTTTTTTGAGTAGGTCTTTACTTATATCAAGAAACTCGTGGCTTGAAAATTTCCAAGAGCAAAGTATCTTACACGTAGATGAAAAAAACTTTCGTCAAAAAATGTTGTACATGTCCTGAAGACGAGGACAATCCTTGATGATGACGAGAAAGCGATTTCTGAAACGAAATATAATTGAATTGGTTCATTTAATAGTTTTTTAGCCTCAATTCTAAAATATTTTAATGTAAAAACCACTTGAATTGATTTCAGAACTGGTTTTCTTGATACGAAACAATAGCCCTCATCTTTCGGATAAATATACAATTTCTTGGTGTAAGATTTTTTTTTCTTAATGTGAGATATTGTGCGCTTGGTAATTTTCGAGCCGTGAATTTCTTGATACAAGTAAAGACGTATCTCTCAAAAAACTCTCGTTTTCTCATTGAATTTTCGAAGAAGAGAAAAAAAAATGATGAAAAGAAGAAAATCAGTTGTGTAAATTAATATTTAAGTACTGATTTTCCACGTGAAATATTTTGCATTCAACATTTCAATGTAAAAAATCACGATGAAAAGTAGAAAATCAACGAGAATGTTGTACTCTTTACCAAAAATACTGTAATTCTTGCTAGGCTTATTGCATTCTCTATTAGACAGGTACGAAAAAATCAAAACAAAAATAGTGAATTCTCTCGGAAATTTTATTGGATTTATATTGGACTTTTATGGGAATAATTCGCAACTTTAATGCGCGTTTATAAAAACAAATAATAGTTTTTAATTTTTCTACTCAACTCATTCTGTGGAGATTATATCTACGAAAATCTCTCGACTCAAATTTCTTGATGAGTTTTTCCGTTTGAATTTCCTAATGAGTGAAAAAAAACACGAGAGCAAGAAAATTATAATTTGTTATTTTCAAAATCGCGATGGAAAGCTTTCAAATATTTTAAGGGGAGACTACTGAGTTTTAAAAGTCGCGGGTGATTGGAATGAGATTTCTCGTGCATTGAAGATCGATTATATATATCTAAAAAGGAATAATTAAAATGTGAAAAATAGTCTGGGGTCTCCAATTTTTTAGTTGCGGACGTTTTTTTTCAAAATTTTTGAAAAATGGTGTAAAATAACAATTACGAATTAGTTTTTTAGAATTCGACTCCTACACAGCTAATTTCGTTTTCTTCAATATAAAAATTCGCGCCATTCATGTAAAATAGGCAAAGAAAAATACCTTATAATGTTTAAAATATATTTTCGATTCTTTCAGAAACATTTTTTGGGCTATTTTACATCAAGGGTGCAACTTTTTATTTTAAAAGATCGTAATTAACTTAGAATTCGAATTTCAAAAAACTAATTCGTAATTGTTATTGTACGTATTTTTTCAAAAATTTTGAAAAAGAACCTCTAGCTCAAAAATTGAAGGCCCTGGACTATTTTTAACATTTTAAGCGTCTGCGGGGCAAACGAATAAACAATTCATTTTTTTGAACTAATTATTCATTTTTAGACATATAATAGATCGTCAATGTGTAAGAAATCTCATTCCAATGGCCCGCCGCCTTTGAAAACTCATAGTAATCTCCCCTTAAGTCGAAATTTCACAAAAACTGTGGTACGGAGTTTCTGGAAAGTACACGATTACTAAAATTCCGGGTAATTTTCAACATTTTTTCTCTCCCCATGTTGACTGGATGATAAGTTTAAACTGCTACACTCAATATATTTCGATCATTTCTGTTCAGTACAACGAATTATGGGAATGTATCTTGCTTCCTGGTTGAAGAGGCAGTTCGATCTTCGTGGGAAACCATTCACAATTTTTTTCAGTGGTCTCATTACGTTTATCATCGGTTTTATTGTTCTTGAAGAGGTTTTACCGTCATGTATACGTAACTCCGGGTGAGCGAGTGGAGTAATCGAGCAAAATCGAAAGGGTCCGTCTCCTCTTTCGTTGAGTTTTATTTTTTTGCCGGGGGAAATTTGGGTCACGAACGTGCAAAACGGAGCAGTTCCCTTTCATTCACTCTGGCCCTGAAATTAAATGTCGTACTGCGTGATTCACATTATATCGAGTTTTTACGCCAATTTTGGGGCAAAGTGAACACTCATGGAAGATATTTTCATTAACAACTTCTTACGGGTTGACAAGCCACTGATAAGTGAAAGAAAGTCGGTGAGATTGGGGATTTGTCACAGGTAATGATGAACGTAAATATTCACAAAAATATTGCATTTTTACCTAAATCCCTGCAATTCTTCCACACCTATTGCATTCTTCAGTGAATACGTACGAAAAAATTGAATAGAAAAGCCAAGTGCATTGTCTGGGGAATTATATTGAAGTTCTTTTGAATTTTTTTACGGAAAATTTTTGCAAATTTTGAATGTTCAGTAGAAAATCTTGGACGAAAAAATTCATTGATAGTTGACACAGTATTTATTAAAATTTCTTGAATTAAATTTTCCAACAATGAATTTTTTCAATGTTTTTACGTAAATATTCACAAAAATATTGCATTTTTACCGGAATCCCTGCAATTCTTCCCAGACTTATTGCACTCTTCAGTAAATATGTACGAAAAAATTGAGTAGAAATACCAAGTGTTTTTGAGGGAATTCTATTACATTTTTATTGACTTTTCAGGGAAAAACCTCGCAATTTTTAAATGTTCAATAAACAATCTTGTGCAGAAAAAATCAGTTGATCGTTAAAATTACTCCGATTGAATTTTTTAACAATGAGTTCTTTCACCTGACTTTTCTAAGAAGGAAAAAATGTAAAAAGAACGAAATCAGTTCTATAGGAAGATCAATATCTACTGACAAGTAAAAGAAAGTCGGGTTAGCCACAGTGAGTTATGGACGTAAATATTCACAAAAATATTATATTTATACCTAAATCACTGCAATTTATCTTAGAATTATTGCATTCTTCAGTAAACACATGCAAATAAATGGAGTAAGAACACCAATTGCATTTTCTAGGGAATTACATTAGGGTTCTTTTAAATTTTTTTACGGAAAAAATTCTTTGCTTGTTGAAATAATATCTATTAAAATTCCTTGGATTAAATTCTCCAATGATGAATTTTTTCAATGTTTTTTCTTCTTAAAAAGAAGAAAATCAATTGTACAGGGAGATCAATCTCTACTGATAATTGGAAGAAAGTCGGTGAGATTGGGGGTTTGTCACAATGAATGATGGACGTAAATACTGTTATGCTTGGAGTCATTATAATCACGTGCTCCTGTCTGGATGACAGCCTCCTGTAAACGAGTCATACACAGGCAGCTACTTGGGTCTTATTTTCATCTTTCAAGCATTTTATTGTGTCTCGTAACAGGGAGACTCACGAAACCCGGCGAAAGCGTCGGTGGAATATGCGTCGGATTACTTTTGCCTATGTTAGAAATCCTGTCCTGGATCCACTGGCATTTCAATGGTAATTTTTTTCGGGTCTTGTGGGTTTGAGAATTCCAAAAATGGGAAGATCGAGTGGTTTGGTGAATAATTCAGTAGCTAATTGATGATGATAGGAGATGGTTTCAGAGATTAAGAGACTTGAACATTATTTTGTGTGTAATGCTCTTATTGAGTATTTTTTCTGTTTTCTAAGAATGTTTTGACATTCTTTCGAGAAACTACTCGTTAGTAGTAAAATTGTATGATTGGTATGATTCAATTTTTTCACTTTTCAAACTTCATAGAAACTCGTTTTTAGTTGCTCAATTATTTGAACCCTAGTTTGGTCATCATACGAGAACTTGCGACTTGCTCACCTCCGCAGGAATTCGCTGCCGCGTTATTTCGGCCCCAGCGTTGCCGATATCACTCTACACTACTCGGGCACGTTTAGCGAGCTTCCGGCAACGTTGCGGAACGGATGATGTCGTTTAACATGCATCGGTAGAGAAGATGGAAGAATTTAGTTGAAGTTAACGAGGGTTCCTAGCTATCAATGCCATTCGTTAACTATTAACAAATGGTGTTAATAGCTGAAAAGCCTCGTTAAAAGCAACTAAATCGTTCTATCATTGTGAGAATAGTAGATTTTTAACCTAGTGAGGTAACATAATGGAATCGTTTGTACGAAATGGTGGTAAGCACGTATGTATGGGACTTTTTTATTACCTCCTGTCGTTAGAACCGTATTTTCCCTTCGCGTGAAAAAAATAATCCGTCTAATAATAATAATTAATTGATTCCTGCAACTAACCGAAAAATAGTCGAGAATTACAATGAATATCTACATCGTAGCGGTCGAGAA